CGTCCAGGAATACCTGGCCGCTCTAAATGAGTTCAAGTCCCCAGGGCCAGATCAACTACACCCAAGAGTATTAAAGGAACTCATCTCAGAACCATTGGCAATCATCTTTGAGAGTTCTTGGAGAACGGGAGAAGTTCCAGCAGATTGGAGGAGGGCCAATGTGGTCCCAATCTTCAAGAAGGGTAAAAAGGATGACCCAAACAATTACCGTCCGGTCAGCCTCACGTCGATACCAGGCAAGATTCTGGAAAAGATTGTCAAGGAAGTGGTCTGCAAGCCATTTGTTAGATTGCATTTCTAACAAATGCAATCATCGCTAGTAGTCAACATGGATTTATCAAAAACAAGTCATAGCAGACTAATCTGATCTCTTTTTTGATAGAGTTACAAGCTGGATAGATGCGGGGAATGCCGTGGATGTAGCGTACCTGGATTTCAGTAAGGCCTTCGACAAGGTCCCCCCTGACCTTCTGGCAAACAAACTAGTCCAATTGGTTCCTGCCAATGAGCCAGATCTTCCTAGGTCTTTCGGCTGCCTAGCCAAAAACAGATTTTTCCATTAGCTCATTTTTGAGGAGCTCCCGAAAACGAATCTGGGTACCCAATGAAATCCAGATACCAAAATCAGATCGCTTTCCAGCTGAATTGCACAAGCCAACCGGTCCGAATCCCTCTTTGAAGGTGAGAGGGTCGGTATATAAAACCTCAAAATAAATAAATAAATAAATACTACTTATGGAAAAGCTGCTTTTTTTTTTACACAAAATAATAGAAATGATCAGTTCAAATTACTTTTTTTCAACATGTTTTCCTTTTATTTCATTGGTGATTATCATGATTATGTCAGTTAAATAAGTAGTAAGAACACCAGAAATACATAGAACCATATTCTAATGTATTTTAAAATAATAGATACAACTTGAAATCCAGCTATCTGGAAAGAGAGAGAGAGAGATTTGATATTTGAAACATAACTACAAAGGAAGGGAAGGGAAGGAAGAAGAAGGGGGAAAGTACCTAATATTTGCTTCCTGGTATTTTAGAAGGCAAAAGGTGTCCCAGAAACTAGTAATTAGATTCCAAAGGGACTTGATCAGTCAAATTACATCATAGTTGTTATTAGCAAATATAATCCATGCCTAAATATTTCAGATTCTTGATCTACAAATTAGGGTTGTAACATTAGTTGTGTTGCCTAGAGACATTCTCAATATTGTTAACCTAAATTGACATTCCTTGAAACAAGAATATTTCTATTGATTTAGTATACTTTAGACCTACTTTCAATACCCTGAATGGGTTTCTAGCTGTGAAAGCCGCATTAAGGTTAATGGACATTGCACTACAGGTAAGTGTAGAGAGGTAGGCTTTCTGAAACAGCTTGAGGTACCTTGAGAACAGGAAATGATGTATAAATTGCAGTATTTCTTCCTTTCACATCTTGTCCTAGAAAGCTGCTAAGCATTTTGTGTTTATTGTGTTCTTATGTCCATTTTATGACACCTTGCTTCTATGAATTGTTGGTAAAAACTGAAGTAATTCAATTCCTGAAAATTAGTTTAGCGTCCTTGTTTCGTGTTGGCCAGTATGCACTATTCTTGTCTACCATGACAGTAAATTGGAAGTACAAAGTGCTTAGGCTTTAAGCTAGCTGTACCTCTGCATTAGAAATATGGCACAGGAGCCGTGCCTAGTGATTCATTGGTTTGTAGGGCAGCCTTACTCATTCCAAGGCACTCCATAGGTTTTAGATTACTATTCCCATTAGATGCAACCAGTATAGCCAACGGTGAGTGATCAAAAGGAACACAAAGATTTCTTCAGAAGATTCCATCTCTAGATGGTTAGCTGAAGTCAACACTGTGTCTAAGAAAGCATCTTGGATAGTTTTGTTATCGGTATCTCAGAAGACAGTTTAATAGAGATAAGTGAACTCTTAATAAACTTAGCAAAATAACAAATTAGACCAAAGTGAGAAGAAGGAATGTGGTCGCATTCCTTCCCTAAGAGAATTTAACACTAGAAATTATGTGCCTACACCAGTGTTTCCCAAACCCTGATCCTATGTTTTCAGGCCCCAGAAGACCAATCGATTTGACCAGCAGATAGGAATTCTAGTAGCTGAATTCCAAAACATTGAGAAGTCCAAAGTTTGGGAACTTCTTGCCCAGACCAAGAGGTCTATGTTTTGAAATAATCCTCCCCAATGGAGCAGGATCTGAATTGATTGTGTAAATAAACAGCCTAAATGAGTACAGAGCAACAATATGTTTTGTTTCTTTAGTCTTAAAAGCAACAACTTATTTAAACTTAGGTAAGTTATTTTTAGGATACAACTCCCAGAATTCCCCAGCTGAAGCTATTACTGTGCTTGGTTTGCCCCTCTCTTGAGAGGATGCAGAAGCATATTGAGATCCACTTTAGTTTTTTGCTCTGTTTCTCTCTCTTCCTCTTTTATCTTTGAAACAATGGACCAAGACATTTATGTGACTAAACCAAGTTGTGTTCCCCTGTCTCTTTTAGAGTGATGAGATTCATAATTAGAAAGCAAGTAATTTTTGATGGATTGTTTATAGAACAGGTATAACAAGTTTGCACTCTTGATACCTAGTGCAAAACTTCTATATAAAGTTCCGGAGGGATTTTCCTCTGCTTCAGCATCATTTAGAAATGCAGTTATGTCAGATTAATTGTGTTACAAATGAGTAACAACAACGAATGTTCTATTTGTGTGATATCTGACAAATCGTTTTCATTCAGTTGTAATACTTGCATCCAGATATTCCAAGTTAGTGAAATTTCTTGGTGTAAGTGCAGGTTTTCTTGTGGATTAATTTGCAAGCCATTAATATATCTCTTTCTGTTGTAGTCCATCAAGCATCAGAGGATTTTTTCTGAACGTTCAGAGGATGAGAGGAATGATTGGTTTCAAAGTGAGAGTCTGTGAGTGCTCGGGGAGAATTGCAGACAGACAAGGCTGATGTTTTGAATTCTTCAGCTCGTCCTCTAGCAACAGGGGAAAGTGAAAATACCAGTTCCCTTGAGAAAAGGCCTTGGGAAGCTGAGGAGTTCTCAAGAGATTGTAGATTAGATCTGAGAACTCAAGGCGTGAAAAGCAGGAGAATTAGGTATTCTCAGAGGAATTGAGATAAGATTTTGAAGGCCAGCTGTGTTAAGCACAATGTCACGGGTGCCTTGGCAGGCTTAGATTAAGTGGTTAGGTTTCATAGGGGACAACGTTGGCAATGGGGATTGGTGTCCCCCTCATGATTTCAACTTCATGGTTCCTGTATTGTCAAGATTCCTATTCCATGTTCCTGTTTATGCCTATGTACTTATGGAGAATTTATCTTGGACAGGTTTCTGTTTTCATATTCATGGATATACCTTTGGATAAATACTGTGATTTTATATTTCTTGGTTTTGATGTTTTAACCTGGATTTTTGGATTACTGCTACTGAACTCTGGCTTCTTTTGTACAGTGCATTTTATATCCTCATTGTCCTTTTTGGATTTGCCCTTTCCCCCTTTATATATACTTTCTTTAATAAATATTATTTTGTTGAAACACTGGACTCTGATGTGGTGCTGGGTGAAAGGGTGCCCCAGTGCTAGGGTGAAACACTTTCGTTGGGAGCCAAGTTCTCAAAAAATCATATGTTCCTTAAACATATCTAAGATGTGTCTTGGATCCTGTACTAATTTTTTTTTTGCAATATTAAAGAAATAAACAACCAAACAACAGTACTGTGAAATGCAACCATGTATTGGTAATTCAGAAATGGATTACGATGTATAAAAAGGGCACCAGGATTTTTTTTGGTAGTGTTGAATTTGCAAGTCCCAACAGAAAGGCTTTTGGCTCTGTTATTCATTTGTTCAGTCGTCTCCGTGACCTCATGCACCAACCCACGCCAGAGCTCCCTGTCGGCCGTCACCACCCCCAGCTCCTTCAAGGTCAGTCCAGTCACTTCAAGGATGCCATCCATCCATCTTGCCCTTGGTCGGCCCCTCTTCCTTTTGCCTTCCACTTTCCCTAGCATCATTGTCTTCTCTAGGCTTTGCTGTCTCCTCATGATGTGGCCAAAGTACTTCAGCTTTGTCTCTAGTATCCTTCCCTCCAATGAGCAGGCGGGCTTTATTTCCTGGAGGATGGACTGGTTGGATCTTCTCGCAGTCCAAGGCACTCTCAGAACTTTCCTCCAACACCACAGTTCAAAAGCATCGATCTTTTGGCTCTAGTGGTACTTTAATTTTTAAGATGTCTTCAATGTTCTTATGAATTATAATCCAGATTTGCTTTAGGACATGTCCACCACACATATAGTAAACAGTTCCTTCTTTTTGATGACATTTTCAACAAACTTTTAAAGTTTGCTTCTACATTAACTAAGTGAGGGTCACAGGGCCCACATGCAAGTGGGAAAAATACAATTATAAAAGCACTACTTTTTGAGAAAATATGTTTTCAGGAACCTTTATGTCCTCCAGCAGAATTCTGTGGTCAACTTCCGGTGGACATTGACTATACGGTTTCACTGAAGAACTAGAAATTCCTAGAGAAAACATTTTACTCAAATCCACAAATAATCAGATATGCAAAAGTGAAGGACTGACTGTAGTTTAAGTACAGTTTGTAAATTAAATATGACGTTCTTTAAATTATTCATCAACTCATTTTTCTGGTAGAGTTGGGGTAGTGTACATTATCATTTTAAAAAAATCATGTTTAAAGCGGAAGAAGAAAAAGAAAAGAAAACTTGAAAACGTAAACACCAGATTTGTAACTCAATATGCTGAATCCAGCAAGAGAGATGTGTATTTTTCCACCTGTGAGTGACTGAGAAACATCATCTTTGCCTGTTTGCCTGGGACTGCACAAGGTTTTTCCATCAAAAGACTTGATAGATTACATTTGCTGCCTGATTTGACAATGAACTGCATTTGAAAGTGTAGCTGGTACAGCAGATTTAATTATTTTTGTTGTAACTTCTTTTAGACATTGGAAGCCATCTTGAATTTCAAATACTCAGGAGGTCCAGGACATATTGATGGATATTACAGAAACTTGTCTCTGGGGCTCCATGTGGAGGTGGAACCATCTGTCTTCTTCACTCGTGTTAGTACCCTCCCTGCAACAAGGTGTGTTTCTTATTCTTCAGTGGCATTTTTATTGTGAGAACTATTGCTCCCAAATATACTACAATAATAAGCATTGCTGAAAGTAATTCAGAAGCAACAGTCTCATTCCCCAATTAGTAATAATTGGTAAATGTTGCTGATCTCTGAGGGAAAGTTGGAATTTATTTGACTCCACTCTTATATAAAGCACAACTAGTTTATTTGTTATTCATCAATGGTCTGCTTATTGGAAAACTTACATGCTGAAATTTATGAATTTTGGTCCTTTTAATGTGATGGAATTAATTTTGATTGAAAGTATATGTTTGTATATATTGTGCACCACTTTTTCCATTAACTTTAAATATGTCCAAGATTTGCAGCCAATCCTTTATACCAGCTTTCAAAATTACGTAGTAATAAATCTGATTTTTAAAAATGCTAAAGCTTGTTGTGAATTGCGGGAATTAACCAGCCAGATTTCGGAAGTGACGGTTCTATAAGAATTATTTTTTTTCAGCCCTTCAACTACTACTGTTAGGATTTACCCATTGCAAAAAGCTGTGGCCAGATTGAAGTATTTAATTTAATATTTAATTCTATTTTAGTGTTTGTAAACTTTCAGGTTTTGCATTGGATTGGATTGGTTTTACCATAAGCTACCTCAAGTCTCTTTTTAGTGAGAAAAAGTAGGGTATTCATAATAATAATAATAATAATAATAATAATAATAATAATAATAATAATAATGGCGGCAACACTTGTAGCTGCTGCATCATAGAATTAATATGTGATTTAGTGGGATAAAGTGATCTGTCTCTTAGCTCTTTTCTTCCTCTAGACCTGAGCCAGACTGGCCTGTTCTTCTACTAGTCCAGCCTTTCTTCATGCCCATTTCCCCTGTTTCTCTGCCCAGTTCTCAAGTGATTTTTTTCTTCACACATTTTTTTTCACACAAAACCCAGACTTTAGTATTCCTCCATAGAAGCATTTCCTTCTGCAGTCAGAATACTCATAAATGTTGCATGGCTTCATCGCACCTCACCCAGTGACTTTGGACTGACACTTATTGCAGAAGAGACACAACTCTTGGCTTCTTTTTATGTTATGCTTTGTGTATTTAGATGGCCTTCTATAAAGTAGTAAAGATTCCTGATACAAAAATTGGTAGAATCCAGCAGGTTTACCGAAGGCTCAAAGTAAAAAACAAACAAATCTGTTCTCTTCAAACTTGAAGTAGCTTGTGATTTGGTTCAATGAAATTTTATGAGTTTCTATTTTAGTGTTACTGATGAATAAAGCAACAACATTTGCCACTTTCCTGTCATCCTCTCTACTTTACATTGAATGTAGATTTTTCTATTTTTAGTCCCATGATAAATGTTTTATACATTCATGTGCTTAGAAAGATATTTTGTTACATACTGTTTCATTATCTGGGTGGAGGACACAAGGGGCACTAACAGAGGACAGTCGGTCTTATGGTGGGGAAGGGGGCTGAAGGAGTAAAACCATTTCCCCCTGTTTTTCTGTTATTCTCCCCAACCATGTCCTCATCAAAACAACCATAATTGATGATATGGCAAAGGGGAAGGGGGAATAACCAGCAAAAATGGGTAAAATGGTTTTCCTCCTTCAGCTCCCCCTCCCCATAAAATTAACTATCTTTCTCTGTCTAGGCCCCAGATAATGGAAAAGTTTCAATTAATCAAACATCAGAATATGAAATTTACAAAATTTAGAAATACAAAATTTCTGTTTGTCAAAAGGACGTTCCTGGAAAATCAAATAATGAGGAGGATGGAGTTTTGCTTTATTTATTCTCATCACTTGTCCAGTACTTTCATGTCTCTTGTTGACATCTATATTGAAGTGTACCCTTGGAAACACTCCAAAAATGTTGTAATCATTATCCGTATTGTAATTTTGAGATGAATTATTAGCACCTCAATGTTATTTCTTTTAATCTCTTCAAATAGTACCCGCCAGTGCTACCTCCTCCTTGATGTCTTCAACTCCACAGAACATGAGCTCACGATTAGTGCACGGAACAATGAAGATCTGGTTTTGCATGCTGGAGAATGCCAGCGGTAAGCTTTAAAATAAAAGCTCTTTCTTCTTTTTCATTTGTCCTTAATGTTTGCATCCGGCGGCATTCTGCTAAAATTTGTGCCTGATAATACATAGTTGTATTTAAAGGAGTAGAAGACTATTTGTTCATTTTTTTCAATCTTCTTTATTGATTATATTTATTTCCCATCTTCTGTAATATTTATACCCAAATCCTAGCATAAGTTCTTTCACAGTTCTTTGTATGTGATGCTTACGTCCCAAAATAAAAGAAAGAAACAGGTAATTTGAAATACCAGCAATCCTCAAGTAATGAACAAGGTAGGTTATGTGGGTTTATTCTTAAGCTGAATGTGTATATAAGTCAGAACAGGTATTTTTTAAGTGGAACTCCACGCAAATATCTTTATATATTAACTTTGGATAGCATAGGGAAGGGTTGACAATCCTGTGGTGTTTGTTTTACTGTCTCTGCTCCTGTTCAGAAAAATTCACCTCTCACATTGCAATTCTCTCACATCAGAAGTGACTTGCAGTTTCTCAAGTCACTCCTGATACTGGGAAAAAATCTCTAAGGTGCTACAAGATCCCTGTGCATTTTAATTGACTGTATGTATGTATGTGTCGTGAACCAGAAGCCTTAAAGGAGCCAAACACAAGTAACAGGTCCAAATAAGGTTTATTAACAAACAAAAATAGCTTAGAAACACTTGAATTCAGTGAGTCTAGCAATAAAACAAAGTCTGTAGCAACTGCAAAGCAAAAACGCAACTTGGAGAATAATCCGGATTATACAGAGATATAATCCGGTATAACAAAAAGTTCAAGCAAACTGCTTCAAAATCACAGAGTTCTCAAAATACAAGGTAGCAAGGTGGGAACAAGCAAAAACGTAGTCAGGAAACAGTCCAAAGTTGAGGCACGTCCAAAAGCAGAAGTTAAGTCCAAAACGCGATGTTGTCGCCCAAAAACAATCCGAAGTCAGCAAGGAAGTAGAAGTCAGTACTTACAGGATTCCAGTCAGTAGAAGCACGGAAACACAGCGATCTGCAGTCCTAGGACTCAAGGCGAGAATAATGGCAGCAACAAAGTCCCAAGCCCAATACAACACTTTGCCTACTGCAAAGTCCCCAATGTTTCATACCTTCTTTTATCCTATAACTCATCATTAGATGAAGAACTGGTCTCCATCCTGTCTTCATCACTCTCAGGTGCTTTAGCTTCCACAGCTGCTCGTCAATGCCCATCCCTCCAACTCTTCCAGCGTCTATCAAGACTTAGATCACCCCATGTATTACCAGGTTGCCAGTCTCCCGAGAACCCCTCAAACTCATTACTTGATGTGTGATATGTCCCTGATTTCCTGCACACGGGTCCAGTCTAGCCCATCCTCCTCTCTGTTATCACTCTCAGTCCCATCACTCCCCGTGTACAACATAATAAATGGCAAAAATTCAATGCCAAAACATACATATAAAAACAATACAAAATATATCTAAATTAATAACATACAGCTATGAATTAAAACCATTAAAATCTATACAAAACATCAAACACAGACATAAAACATATTAGACATTGCATCTGTCCCATGGTTGTCATTTAGCCGCTTGAGTAGTATTGCCAAATGTCTGCTTCCATAACTAGGTTTTGAGTTGTTTTCCGAACACCAGGAGGGAGGGGGTCGATCTAATATCGCTAGGGAGGGAGTTCCACAGCCAAGGGGCCACCACCATTATATAGTCCACATTAAATTGCGATTAAACTGTTAACAAAATTAAAACAGTTCAAAGCATTCCCTTAAAAAGAAAAAGAAACAGCTACAGAGCAGAACAGTTTAAAATAATATAGGGTCATCCTAAAAGACATTTATTTAAATATCTTCAAATCTAAAACCTGTTAGAATTTTTTAAAAAAGTATTTCCTTACCCTTAATTTAGGAAACAATGGCAAAGAGGACATAAAAAGAAAGAGCCTCCCCCAGAACAGTGTTTTGGAAGCTGTTTTCTTTTGTTTTGTTTTTAAGTTGCTTTTGAGAGCTCTGGATTTAAAGTGGGGTATCTATATTAAATACAGAAATAAATAAATGTGTGTGTGGGAGGAGTAATTCATCTTTGTAATCTCTCTGCAATCTGCTGTTCAGTACATCTGCTGTTCTTTGTACATTAAAAATCAGTTTCCAGAGGTAGAGTTGTGTTACAATCTGTTGAAGCAAAACTACCAAATGGCACCTTAAAGACTTAATTAATGCATTATGGTGCAAGCTTTCATAAACTCCTTCTCACTTTATTGTATTCCTGACATATTATGCAGAATTTCAGGCATTGCCTTGATTTTGTATTGACAGGTGTGTTTTAAATGACAAAATGAAAGGATTTATTGTGGGTGAGCAGAACAATCCATAAAATAATGCATGACTGTGAGCAGTGATACATCTGGGTACATTTTTTGGGTAATTTATCATGCTGGGTACTTGATGACCATGTCATTAAAATCAAGCCATTAACAGTAAAAATACTACATCTTATTTTACCTAAACATTTGAATTCTACTCACAGAATGTCTGCCACCGCATAGTCCTGAACTATTTCATTAGCGCAAAGACTTATCAAAGTGATTATCTGAGTGGATCACCCATATAATTTGTCTTTTATGGAGTTGTGAAAGAATTTTTAATTGATGTGTGGTAAGTAGATATCAAGAAATGGTTGGAGAAGACATACTTGCTACGTGAATAAGATAACTTTTAGTTCTATGCCTTGATTGCCCTTGATATCGTGTAAGGTGTAACATCAGCCATCCTGAAGCAGCTAGGAGATACATTTCCAAGTGGAATAAGAGCAAGCGGGGAGGGGGAGTAGTATAGCTAAGCAGACAGCTTATTGCATTTTGTGGCAATTATCTTCATTTCTCTGAACGGTGCTTCCCAACCTTTTTTTTTGAACAGAGACCACTTGGACCAGGGATCATTCTCCAACATCAAATGCTAATCAAGGTGGTCAGTTGAAACATTCACACCTAGCTCCAACGGACAAGAGTGCTTTGTCCCACCCTGGTCATTCCACAAATATATAAACCCATTTTCGTAGTTCCAACAGACCTCACCACCTCTGAGGATGCTTGCCATAGATGCAGGCGAAACGTCAGGAGAGAATGTCTCTAGAACATGGCCATATAGCCCGAAAAAACCTACAACAACCCAACCTCAAAAACTATTGTGTAATAATGACAGACCACTGCAAAACTATCCAAACTCTAAAAGCATGCAGTCACTCTTGTCTCGAGGATAAAGTAAGGAATTGGCAATTGCCTTATTCCCTTGCATTTTCCCCTGCTTCCCAGTGTCCTTTGTTTGACATTGGTATCTGTTCATGAACTTTCCAGTGTAAGCGGGTTTGCTGAAAGCAGTTGCTTCTTTCACATTAGTTCGGGTATGACAGATATAGAAGGAGGCATTCCTAGCACTGGGAGGAAATATATGTGTGTGCATGTGATTTTTTAGTAAAGGAGTGCGTTAGCCTCTATCCATACATAAGTCTAGAAATTTTAATCAAAAGGCCAACTCGAAAAACTTGAGTCAACTTATCAATAAATTAGTGTGAGTACTGAATCTTATCAAAAAAAGGAACGGCCCTTTTCGCTGAGCATAGTGGCAAAAAGCAAGAGTTTACTCCATACTAGAAGAACCACCCCTGTGTACTCTTTGCCCCAGCATCACCTCTGGCCTTTTTAAATGCTGGGATGTGGAAATGGGAGTGATGGTCAGAGGCTACTGACCTGAATTAGCATTGTTGCTTTCCCGTTTTTGTGGAATGACCCTCAATTTTTCCACAGGTCACATTTAAATTCATAATTTTGTCCTACAAACCTGCCCTTGATTAGAAGAAAGTAGGCTAAGACTTCAACCACAAAGCAAATTTTGGAAGTCCGTGTTTATGAGTCAGTGTTTTCAAATTCCATTAGGACAAAAGCAAGGCCAGTTTACTTCTGATTATCTTAAACCAGCAATGAAGTTTTGCTTTCTGAGCCAAAGCTCTCAGTGAGAATACTCCAAAAAGTATGAGTACAGTTTAATTAGGATTAGACCAAAAAACACATAGAACTCGTCAGGAATTTACATTACAGTATTTGAAACCCCCAGCTTCAGTATCTGTGTGTGTCATACAGAGGGCCTTATTCAACAGTTTGAGCAATACCCTAGCCTTCCATTTTAATTTGCAAGGATGTTAACCATGGTGTGCACCAAATGATCTCTTCTGTTTGCAGCTGTCGATCAAAAACAGTAAAAGAATTTGAAGTTCTTGTTGACACAGATATATATCTTGGTTTCAGGGTATGCTGGCTTTGTAGTTTTCTTTCCCCTCTACCTCTCAGTGGATGGATGATTTCTTGGCTTGCTTATGGAAATAGCCAGATAATTTCCCCAAACTCATCTGTTTCGTTGAGAAGTTGGCACTACGCTTCTAGCCAAAGGCTATGTGGCACATTAAGCCAGAGTTTACTCATAAATATCACACTGAAAGGGGAGCATTAATCTCTCTGTTGTTTATAGATACTAAAATATTAGCTCATCTGAAGCCAGCTAGGGGAGATAATATTTGGAAGCACTGTGCGTCGGTATGATCTATATTGTAATCCATTCAGTATATCTATGAATATCAGTTTCAGAGTGGGTGTAGTTTATGTGTGATGCAAGTTAAAATTGATTGGAAAATTGATTTAGATTGTGGGTTGTAGTTTAGAGGGTGTGTGTTTTTTGGAAGCAGTACAGTCCTTGTATCATCTCAGAGATGCTCCTCCCAGGTTTTGCTTTTGATCATTGTGTAAATCTTGGGAACCCATTCCTGGGACCAGTGTTTAACCTCCTTCAAGCTTCATTGAAATTTTTCATTGCTTCTTCTCTGAAGTCATTTGTATGTGATTAATACTTTCTGTAATGTGCTCTAAGGTTTGGCAAACATATATTAACAAAATGAAATTGCTGGTACATGTCAGAACAACCTGTTTTGTTGTGTGCCTT